GTCACGGTGTCAGTGAGCTCATCCAGATCAGTAGCTGCAGCCTCAAAAACACTCCAATCAGTAAGTTCGAAGCAGGCCTGTAAATCCTGCTCTGCTTCAGCAGTCCATCTCTTTACAGTTTTCACTACAGGCTTAGCAGATTTGAGTTTCTGCCTGTAGGCTGGTAGAAGATGAACCAAACAGTGATCAGAGAGTCCCAGAGCTGCTCGGGGGACAGAGTGGTATGCATCCTTTAAAACAGTGTAGCAGTGGTCCAGTATATTGCTGTCTCTGGTGGGGCATGTGATGTGCTGTCTATATTTAGGCAGTTCACGGGTGAGATTAGCTTTATTAAAATCACCGAGAACGATAATGAAAGAGTCCGGATAACGTTGTTCTGTGTGTGTGATCTGATCGGCCAACAGTTCTAGCGCGGCGCTCACACACGCGTCAGGAGGAATGTACACACTCACCAGAATAAACGAGGAAAACTCCCGCGGTGAATAAAAAGGCTTACAGTTAATGAAGAGAGCTTCCAAATTTGGGCAGCACATCTTCTTTAAAACTGTCACGTCTGTACACCAGCCTTCATTGATATAAAAACATAATCCACCGCCTCTCGTTTTCCCCGATGACTCGGTGACGCGGTCCGCTCTGAACAGCTGGAAGTCCGTTAGATGTAACGCGTTGTCTGGGATGGCTCCGTTCAGCCAGGTTTCCGTGAAGCAGAGCGCAGCGGAGTTTAAAAAGTCCTTGTTTGTGCGGGTGAGGAGTCGTAGTTCGTCTGATTTATTTGCTAGGGAGCGGAGATTCGCCAGATGAATGCTCGGCAGCGGAGTCCTAAAACCGCGCTGTCGGAATTTCACGAGCGCGCCGGCGCGCTTCCCTCGCTTGCGTCGCCTGGAGCGCTTGTATAGGAACGCAGCTCCTCCGACTAAAATGTCCAGTAAAACATCTGAATGCTCAAATGTCGGCAGAAAGTTATTTGGTGTGCTATTTCTGATGTCCAGGAGTTCGTTCCTAGTAAAGCTGATCGGGAAAAAATTGCTTAAAACAGGACAAACAAACAAAAAAAGTACAAGTACCAAGTAGCGACAAACCATGGCTGCCATCCGCGGCGCCATTTTTTAAATATATTTATTTTTTTTATTTTTTTTTGAGTCAGATCATCAGTCAGATGAGAGTCTGACTGATGATTATATAATAAGACACTCATGAAGTGTTTCTCTGTGAGTCTCTGTCACAGCAGGATCTCGCTCAAGTCCACTATGATCCTGTTCTTCTAGATCTCTGTTACCTGCAGGAACTGGATGTGATCCTGTGTGTGTGAAAGCTGCTCCAGCTCAGCGTCTCTCCTCCTCAGATCATTGATCTCCTGCTCCAGTCGCTCCAGTCGTCCTTCAGCTCGACTCACTGCAGTCTTTTCCTGATCTCTGATCAGCCGTTTCAGCTCAGAGCAGCTTCTCTCAATAGGGCGGATGAGCTCAGTAAAGATCCTCTCACTGTCCTCCACTGCTGTCTGTGCAGAGCGCTGTTAGGACACACAGTGATTCAGGCTTCAGTGAGTCTGAACTGAGACGGAGACAAACTTCTCTTCTTCTCCAGACTCACCTTATGAGACTCCACAGCCTCTCTCAGCTGCTGAAGATCTTTCTCTCTCTGCTGGATTCTCTGCTGGAACGTCTTCTGCGTCTCCTTCAGCTGCTTCTGCAGGACAAACAGATGATAGTGAATCTCACAGAAAACTACTGGCACTAAATCATCATGTCAACAGATGAATCTAGTAAACGTAGGACTGATAACTAATGGCTGTAGGATCAAACTCTAGAAGTGATGATCGGTTACAATCATCATATATGAATTATGATGAAGATTAAGGCCTGTTTCACACTGTAAGTGTAAGTATTATAAAAGTGAAACTGACACATATGTAGAACTTCTCACTGACAGTATTTCTGCTGTGTAGCAGAGCTTGTATTTTGACTGATGGAAGTATATATTTTGTCAAAGAACAGGTGAATAGTTCACTCCATTAGTTCAGTCCATGTTTCCGGTGCATTTTCAGCAAACAGTGAAACTGCTGTTCATTTCTGCTTTTTACTTTCACTTTCAAATTAGCGGCAATTGAATTGCTGCAATTCGGCGTCAAGCAATTGTTCGTTTGAGTTTTCCCTCTTTTCCTCTGATTTCTTGGCTTTCAAATAGCTTGAAAAAGCGCCCTGCGCATTTTACTTTCACTTTCAAATGAGCAGCAATTCGGCGTTGATTCAATTCAAGCAACAACAACGTCAAACTCAGAAATTTTATTAACAAAACGAACAAAAATACACCATATATGCCTAATAAAATAAATTACTTAGGCTACACAAAGTTTAAATAGGTATATAAAACTGAAAATCAGCTTTTTTGTTACTATAAAAAAATCAAAACGACGGTGGAGGGCGGTGCCGCTGTAGGCAAATGACGTAACCGATATAATCGAAAACATGTCTATCGCAGCAAGCCAAAAAAAACATATGAAATGAGTGTCAGCAATATTTCATCAGTGTCTAGTTTTAAATACCTGTTTCTCTGTCGTCTGTGCTGCAGCTGATACAGTGTCGTGGTTTTTATGTTCAATAATCGTACACAGCATACATATATATTTCTGGTCAGTGCGACAGAAAACCTCAAGGAGCTTCTCATGTTTCTGGCAGATCATCTCCTGCAGTCGTCCAGTGGCATCA